TGGGATCCCTGCCATCAATCCCATCACAGGAATGCCATAAATGCTCGCTCGAGGGATGGAAACAGTGGTTTCAATTTGACCTGTGGTGTCTGCTGGCCCTTTAAGCTGCACCGGTGCCCAGCGTCACGAGCCAGCTGCTTTGGCAGCTAGACAACCCGAGAACCAACACGGGGCCGATGTGTGGGCTCTGCTCTCAGGATGCTCCCCCTTAAGACCTAAGTGGACAGGCCATCCTCCCTCTAGATGTTAATACAGATTATTTTTCTAGTTACTACACTGCCAACGTCTGAACACAAATGTAGTGCTGTGGCCCATCTATGTAATAAGCACATACGCTCTTTCAAATCCTGACTTCGAGAAGAGTGTGAGGGCCACGTCAATAGGCTAACTTACCAAGCCGCCCCCATGTTTTCAGTCCGGAAGCCATGCATGGGAAACTCGCCTATAAAACAAACCCGTCTATTTAAAAATGATTTATCCAGTTCCTCGCTGAGCTCTAAACCAGCTTTAAATCCCATCCTTGAACATTTTTTGTGTCCAAGGTTCCCGAAGCCCTGCTGGGTGTCCCAATGCAATATGCTAGCTTACCTTGCATCAGTTACACACAAATCAGTTAGCGTATCAGTTAAGCATCAATGTGCTCAATCATGAGGACCTCTAAAGGCTAGAGAGCTCTTCCCAATACAGTGGAACTTTGCACACTGGTGGTAAGATGGGCCTGCACTGATCTGCTCTGGTGCCATTCAGTCTGAAGCTCCCTGTGCTCCCTGAGCCCTGATCCACACCGCCTTCCCAAGTGCTCACTGGTCTGGGTGTCGGGGCAGGTACGAGCAGCGGCACATCTAAAAACAGCGCGTGTTAAGGGCTCTCTTTCAGTGACGCTTCACGAGGACACGAGGACACGAGGACTGTCAGTTCTTACTTAGGTAAAGAGAGGGAGATTCACCTTGTGACAGGTAGGTAGGTTTTGAAGGTTCTAATACATGAAATGTTATTTTAAATCACACTACAAATTTGGAACCTGTGATAATTACAGTCTAGGCCAAACTAATTGGTAGTAAATCTAATTTTCTAATCAATACTTTTTCAAGACCAGCTAAAACAGAAATCCACCAGAAGTCCAAAGTAAATCATTTCTCTGTGAAAACTTCACCTGTTTTGTTTGGTAAAAATGGAAGCACGGGACTTTTTAGTCCTTAAAAAATCATCTAAGGGGAGCCTGAGTGGCTCAGTCGCTTAAGCATCTGACTTGGCTCAGGGCACGACCTCGCGGTTTGAGTTCAAGCCCTGCGTCGGACTCTGTGCTGACAGCCCAGAGCCTAGAGCCTCCTTCGGATTCTGTGTCTCTCTCTCTCTCTGCCCCTCCCCTGCTCGTGCTCTCTCAAAAATAAACATTAAAAAAAATCATTTAAGCAGTGCCTCGTATGACATTTAATACGCTCACTGTAAATGATTTTCATACACTACGATTCAACTCCAGTAAGCAACAATTTTCAAACATTAAAAACTGTAAAAAAGTAACTACATCCCACTTAAAGTTATGTATAATAGCTTTTTTTTTCCCCCTTTAAACTAATGCAAACAATCTCTTTCCTCTGCTGCTTTTTCTCCAGCATCAATGGGCTTTGGAAAACCATCATGGTTTGGGTTCTAGTATCTTTTACATTTACCACATTCATGATAAAAATACCTACCTGAAGTTATTTTTTTTTTTAATTTAACTTTAGAGAGAGAGAAAAGGCACGGGTGGGGGAGGGGCAGAGGAGGAAGAGAGCAAGAGAGAGAGAGAAAACCAAGAGTTGGACGCTCAACCGACTGAGCCACCTGGGCACCCCTAAAATTATTTGTGTTTTAAGCAGCGGTATTTATTCTTCCTTACAAGAGTACTTGAGCACCTCCTATGTGCCAGGCTAAGCGCTGGGTACACATGCTGTTGTGTGAGCTTCTTCAAGCTTTGCGGGCTTTCCCTCATTGCTGACTAAGGGTGGCAGGCTGGGGAAGTTTCTGCAGGAAACTCAGGCACCACTTAGATGGCACTGCAACCTCATGAGTTCAACTGAAACTCAAGAAATAAAAGAATAAAATGGAAATTGAGGAAAAACTCCTGCAGAAAACAGAGAATGTATCTGCTATCCTCAAGAAACAATTTTCTTCACAAGAATAACTTGGAAAACCAGTTTCACGAGTTCAATATAAAAATAGTTCTTATGGAAATAATTACAATTATTCACATTATTTTATGATCAATGATGTATTTAAAAAAAGAAATGTCTGGCTTCTGAAAGTTAAAGCAGATGCCCTAAATTTATCAGGCTATATAGATTATTCTCCACAAAGGAAAACCTTGTTTGTTTTTTTAAGTTCATGCGAATCACTGGCTTATGTTCAAGTAATAAAAGGATTATTTAAAAGTTTAATTTCTGGGGCGCCTGGGCGGCTCAAGTCGGTTAAGCATCTGACTCTTGATTCTGGCTCAGGTCACGATCTCAGGGTTTGTTGGGTTTGAGCCCCACACTGTCAGTGCAGAGACTGCTTGTGATTATCTCTCTCTGCTCCTCCCAGGCCTGTGTGAGGGCAAGCATGCTCTTTCTCCCAAAACAAATAAACTTAAAAACATTTTTTATAACAGTTTAATTTCCAGTAAAATATAACTGCTGGTAAGGATGGTTTATTTGTGCTGTTTATTGCTGACAGATGAAGGTTCCACACATAAAGAAACAATTTTACTTAGAAACTACACTTTTGCTTTAACTGGCCGTGAAAAAGTAAATGCCAGATTTAAGATTCACTGACCAAGTCAACTGGCAGGGGATAGTATCAAAAAGAACAGCAGTACTTAGAATTATAGCGCAATTATTTCCCCAGTTAGGACCTTACTTTGGTTTGGAAAAGGTGGATATCAGAAGTAACGCCCCATCATTCCCGTGAAAATTATCTAACTGCGTTCATCTGCACCACGGACCGCTGCGGGCCTCTCACAGCACAGACGTGATTCACAATGGTTCATGTCAAAAAGCCAATTCTAGGGGTGCCTGGGTGGCTCAGTCGGTTGAGCCTCCGACTTTGGCTCAGGTCACGATCTCACGGTTCATGGGTTCGAGCCCCACGTCGGGCTCTGTGCTGACAGCTCAGGGCCTGGAGCCTGCTTGGGATTCTGTGGTCTCCCTCTCTCTCTGCCCCTCCCCTGCTCATGCTCTCTCTCTCTCAAAAATAAATAAAGATTAAGAAAAAAAAAAAAAAAAAAAAAAAAAAGCCAACTCTGCTTCACACAGCCGCTCTCCCAACCTGCGTCTGACCAAATAACAGACTCCCCACCACTTAACTCATTTCAAGGAAAGGAAGTCATTTACTTGGCTCCGCTGCTCATACGGCTCAATTGAGTTTTGAATTAACCACGGCGGAAACACCAGACACTGTGGCTGAAAAGCGACCTTCATCAAGCTGGCCGCTCCTGAGCCACATGTATGTGCTTGTATGTGTCTCAGGCCCTTTAAAAGGGAACATTTAGTTTGGAAATAAGGTCATCAAGATGGAAGGATGATTTTTAAATGAGTTTTTGAACTTAAATAAAACTGTCATCACTGCGGAGCACTTAGCACTTATGTTCCCAGATATAATAAGCACCTCACAAGGATCATGTGTTTGCAAAAACCCTGAGGCAGCCATCATCACCATTCCATTAAAAAAAAACAAAAACCAAAAACCCAACTGACAGACAGGAAAAACCATGTCAGCAGGAAGGTCCCACAAGTGGGGTTGGGATGTGAACCCAGGAGGACGGTCAGGGATGTGACTCAGTCGTGCCAGGTGACAATATGTCCCGACACTGGGACATCACACTAAGGCTTCTACTGACACCTGGAGATCTCCTTCACAATACCCACCATCAAGCCAGTTCCCTTCCGTCTCGGAAGTGTAAAATTAATTATTTTATCAACCTAAAGGAAGGGGTTTACATCTATCCCTTTAATAATTCATGGATGTGCCAAAAGGGAGGCAGCAACCCCACAATTACAAGGAAACTTGCAGGGGCACCTGGGTGGCTCAGTTGGTTAAGCATTGGACTCTTGGTTTCGGCTTAGGTCGTGATCTCACGGTTCATGGGATCGAGCCCTGCATCTGCCTCTGCGCTGACAGTATGGAGGCTGCCTGGGATTGTCTCTCTCCACCCCTCCCTTGCTCACACGCGCATGCATGCTCTCTCTCAAAATAAATAAACTTTAAAAGGAACCTTGCAAAGTTAACAGGGAAATGAAGACTTTAAAAAATGTATAAAGACAGTACTGTCAAAAATAACATCAAACGATAAAATCAGAGAGTTTTCTGATTTAGATATATAAGAACCATGTTCTAGAAGCTTTTCTTCTTCATTAGTTCTCCAAAACACTTATCAAAATTGAAGTTCACGACAGGGCCAAAACCCTACGACAACTTACGCATCTTTTAGAAATACGAGGTATTCCCTATGTAAAATTATCACCTGAATCATAGCTCAGCTAGCAGGAATATTCCATGAGCCTCCTTGGGGTGGTGGTGGCGAGGATCATGAGAAATGCTACACATTACAGGGCCTATCCAGGGCAAACAGCCCTGTTACCTTCCGCTGGAGGGTCGCCCTCAGATCAAGTCACCAACAGGTGCAGCCTGTGGTCTGTGGCTGCCAGAGCCACATGTCTAGGAGGCTTGGGCCTGTTGCTTCTATGGAAGATCTTTGCTCTTCTAGTGCAAGGAATGGAAGCATGAGAAGAAATGAAAGGGGAGAAAAAAATCAAGAAATGACATCCTCAATACCTAAAAAGTGCCCGAGAAGAGTCTGTGGAGGAACTTCCTAAGCAAAGAGGCCTATCAACCTTCTACATTAAAACACCAAACCAAGGTTCCTCACAAGAGTTCTGGGGAAAACCTGACCACCTAGACTGGTCAACGCAAGCGTACGACACACACCTGCAGCTCGTGTGCAGAACCGGTGAAGCCCGACTACTCTCAGGAACGGTACTTACATTTAGAGCAGCTTCTCCACACTTTTCAATGGCTGCGAGACCCTGATTATGGATGTGTGTCTCTAGAAGTTTTTTCAATTCTCCTAGGCCATCCTGGATTCTAGATACGAGATTATACATGCGCCCCAAATCTGAAAGAAGAAGGTGCCACGTCTTATGCACTGAAACAAACTTTGCATATCCATTCCACCAAGTATGTACGTATACTGTGATCACAGATGCCTTGAGATAAAATGGTGTTTTTTGATCGAAATCATCAACGTTGTTTTAATTGTAACTGAATTGTATACATGTAGTTAGCTGAAAGTAACAACGAAACCGTCCTCTCATGAAAGTTTATTTTTCCCTTTACTATGAGAAACATCTAACAATAGAAAGAAAGTCTTTTTATCAGAAGCTGCATCAGATACTTTCTCAAATTCTCAAGACCGAGGTATTATTTATGCTAGATACATAACAGGCACTCATGTACTGATTTTAAAAGAGGAATAAATTTAAAGAGTATTTGAGTATCTATCCCAACTATACAAACGAGTCACAAAAGGGCCCCCGAATTCTTCGAATGGCATATGGTTAATTTATGAAGGCCAAAGAGAAAACTTCTGAACCCAAACATCAATCTTTCATTGAGCTCCTTGTATCTCCCAGTAAAACCTGAAGGGTAAGAGAAATGCTTTCACAAAATACTAGCCTTCTCATCTTGAAGAATTTTTAGAAGAAAAACAGTCAAGGACAAGTCAGGGGTAGCGTCAGTCAATGCCAGAGTATATGGGACGAGTAACCCTCCAAAGAACGCTGACTGAAAAGATGTTCTTCTCCCAAAGTCCTCCCCACAACACTCCACAGAGCTCTGAAATCAGTGCACAACCAGGCTCACTGCGCACTAATCTCTTCAAAACCGGCTGTTGGTGATGCTGTCAGCTCTGACTCTAGAGTTTCAACCAACCTCAAAACTGCAGATCGTGAGAAACCCAGGTCTGGAGGGAGTCTGAGTGGCTCACCTTCATTTTTGTCAGCATCCAGCAAATTCTGGAATTCTGTGTGGAAAATCTCCAGGTGTTTTTCAATGAGCACTTGCTCGCACTTCCTTGCTAGTTCATCTTGTGTGCTTTCGTGAAGGTAGACCTGGACTCTTCGTTGTTCCTCGAGCAGACGGGCCTCTGCCTGCAGGAATTAATTCGAGTGAACCGTCTGGATTCACTTCTAAAGAATTGCTACACGAATAATGGCAAATTAAATTCACAAGCTCTAATACATTAAGAGAAAAGGGAACGGGTCCTGTGACGTTAGGTGAATGCCAACCATGTTTAAGTGGTCACTGATGTGCTCCATTTTCTCTGCAACAGATTTCCGCCTCTAGCTCCTTTTCAAATGACTTCACAAGATTATCTTTGTTAGTTCAGATGTGTTCACGTCAACTTTCGTCCTTCAGGTAAGTGGCTTTTCACCTTCTGGGGGCAATATCCCTATTGTACACTCTGAGACACCTATGGACCCTCTCTTATCCGTGGACACCATGTTCAAAACCCCTATTTTTGACTGAAAGCCACCTGAAGTCAAGAGTCACATGAATCTATTCCCTGAAATGACCACATGGAAAGAGTTATTAGTAATCAGACTTTTAAACAAATTTTAAGGAAAAATATCATGGCCTTCTCTTGCCAACCATTGAGTACCTCTGTACCTCTGTACTCAATACTCTGTACTCAAATACCTCTGTAACTACTGGATTATTTATGCATTTCGATTTCTTACCATTCCCTTCAAGGAAGAGAGGAAAACAAAGATGTAATTTAACAGAGCAGCAAAATAAATAGAAGTCTGTATATTTTACAGTGTAGCAACAGAAATATGTGTGGTATAAAGCATCACCGAGGAATCACTAAATTATCAAAGCAACGACGAAATTTCAATGATAATCTCAAATTAATCAGGTGAGAAAGAGAAATACTATACTTAGTATTGTAAAAGTGCCCTACTTTCTAAAATGATTTTAGATTTGGTATAATTTGGGAGAAATCTATAAAAATTCAACTGGAAGAATAAACACTCAAGAGCCAAGAAACAAAAAATGCAGGCGGGATTTATGCTGTCAAGAATTACTAACAATGAAACGGTTATTTAAACAACAAAAGTCAGAACCTTATTACACATTCCAAATGGTCAAATGTGAACAACAAAATAAACCTGGAAATTATCTGGAGTATTTATCAAAATGTCAAGGTCCTCGACACAGAATGATCCCTGAAAAATTAGTTAAGTTCATCCAAATAAAAAAAACGTGAAAGGAAAAGGAACAATTTATAAAAGAAGACATATAAAAAACCTCAAGTTTCTGATAGGAAGTAATGAAAGCATAGCATATTTGGCTGATGGAATACTATTATCCAGTAAAATAAGTAACAATAAAATATGTTAATGTAACAAATTAGTTGGCGGGGGGGACAAGTTACCAAAAAACCTACAGAATTATTCCTATCTGGTTTTATATACATACTTAGTGTTCCAAGCTTGCAGGTTTATGTTCCTTGTATTTTCCAAAAAGCCTACAATTAATGTGTATATATTCTCTGATTATGAAGTTATTTTAAACCATACGGGATCGTTTGTGCTTTAACTGAGAAGTTTCTACGTTAAGCGCGTACTGCTTCAGATCTGATACTAAGCCTCAAGAATGCAAGCGATATAGTAAAATACAGGACATGCAAACCAAAAAGCACTTCTTTTTCTGTTTGAAGTTATACCTGTTTCCTAGAAGAACATAAATCACCTTGGGCAGCAGAAACTCCTCTGTTTCAAACTCTGCTTTCTCCTAAAACGAACTTTTACCCCTGCCCAGATGAAAGGTACAGCCTTGGTGGGACTGCTGACTCATTCTCTGGGGGGGTCACAGTGGCTTTCCAACTCAGGCACTGTGGTAGGGGCAGCATTCCGCCACAGGACCCTCCCGCAGGGGCAGAGAAGGAAGAAGAGAGTAAACTGGCCCCTGAGTGACTAAAAAACATTAAAGGACAGAGGGGCCTTAGTAATAGCTTGTTTTAAATATAAAGAAACCAAAGTATCCAGTGTTGGGTCATCACGTTTGTGGAATCTAGGTCAAGTAAGCTCTTGACCATCACTGTCCAGAACACCAGGATCAAGTTCAATTTTTTAAAAAATTTATTTATTTTGAAAGCACAAGAGCACAAGTGGGGGAAAGGCAGAGAGAGAGAGACAGAGAGACGGAGGGAGGGAGGGAGGGAGGGAGGGAGTGAATCCCAAGCAGGCTCTGCACTCTGTTCTGAGCCCAACTCAGGGCTCGATCCCAGGACCGTGAGATCATGACTTGGGCTCCTATCAAGAGTCAGATGCTTAACTGACTGAGCCACCCAGGCGCCCCCAGGACCAAGTTCAAAATGACTAAATAAAACGAAGCAATTAAAGACTGTCCCTGTTAATTCTACTAGGATGGGTTCCGCAGGAAAAACAAAAGGAAAAGCAGGCCCACTCCCTGGCCAAAAAAGGAAATCAATGAAATACTGAACATCTGACATCAGTAACCTAGAACAGTCAACAAATCTTTTGTAGCTCACATGAGTCTCAATCACATGAGACAGCAGGATGTGTTAAAAACCCTAATGTGGCTTTGGGTCGTTAATTCATCAAAGCCATCCCTACTGAAGATTCTCAAATGTTTCCACTAAAATATCCCTCAAATCACAGAAAAGGGAACGTAGATCCCTCAGGGAATTTGCACACCTAGCCCAAACTAGCGGCTAAAAGCAGAGTATTTTTTAAAGGTTCATGCTTTATCTCAATACTGTTCAGGAGTTTTGTATATTATTTCCTGACAGACTGTTTTAACATAAACATAATTTCCCCTGAAGTTACTGAATAAAACGTGCCACTTTTTATCCTCTGGTTTTGCATATTTTCAGGCATCTACTGGAGGTTCTGAATGATGAATGCTTATATCATGCTTACTATCTGCCAAGCACCAAATATATACGTATTACAAAATAAAAATTATTACGTGACACCTGGGTGGCTCAGTTGGTGGAGCATGTGACTCTTGATCTTGGGGTTGGGAGTTCAAGCTCCATGTTGGCTGTAGAGATTAGTTAAAAATAAAATCTTAAAAACAAACAAAAAATTATTACCCCCATTTTACAGATGAAGAAACTGAGGACCTGGGGCATCTGGGCGGCTCAGTAGGTTAAGTGTCTGACTTCAGCTCAGGTTATGATCTCACAGTCCGTGAGTATGAGCCCGTGTCCGGCTCTGTGCTGACAGCATGGAGCCTGGAGTCTGCCTCAGATTGTGTCTCCCTCTCTCTGCCCCTCCCCCACTCACTCTGTCTCTCAAAACTGAGTAAATTTTAAAATAATAATAATAGTAAGATAAAGCCTTAAAAACAAACTAAAACTTATTACCCTCATTTTACAGATGAAGAAACTGAGGACCAGGGGCCCCTGGGTGGCTCAGTTAAGGGTCCACTCTTAATTTCGGTTCAGGTCATGATCTCACGGTTCATGAGATGAAGCCCCACATCAGGCTCTGCACTGTCAGAGCTTGAATATATGCTTTGGATTCTCTTGCTCTCAAAAATAAATGGATGGGCAGAAGGGAGGGAGGGAAGGGAGGGAGGGAGGGGAGGGAAAGGAGGGAAGGAGGGACAGACTGAGGACCAGAAAGGTTAGGTCAACTCCCCAGGAAATGACTGAATAGGGATTTAAAATGACATTTGCAGCCCAAGGCTCTAGGTAGGAGAACTGTTCATACAGCTAAATTCCAATTTTATGCTCATAGATCCTCTACGTTATGGACTTCCAGAATGTGAGGGAAGTCGTGTTTGGTAAGATCCAACTGGATCCGGGCCCAAGCTGTAACCCCTGTAGGAAGGAACCCCCTCTAAGAGCACCGGGGCGCAGGAAGCATGCTGCAGCCCCGAAGGCAGGGCTCACACTGGCAATCTCTGCTCTTCAAGCTGCCTTCGGTTCCAGGCCTGACCTAAAAATGAGACTTCCCCACTGTGGGGGCGCTCAAGTCTCTGGCCTGAAGAGCAGACCCCGTCGAGTCACCACCACCTTCCCGGGGGTGGATAATGGAGGTGACGGGAACCCAGCGTCGCTCTTGCCGATGTGCACCCTGAGAAAAGACCCCACTTTTAAAAGAATCACCAGATGCAGGAGAGTCGAGAAGAGATGTGATCATGAAAACGACACTGCCAAACAAAAAACCCGCAATAACAGGCGATGCTAAGACTGAAAACAGATTCTGCTCCGAAAGTTCATTTGTCAGGCGACCGACACTCAGAATGAGCTGGTTAGGTCCCGGGTCAGCACACCAAAAAGCTAACTTAACCCACAGATAGACACAAAGGGCTAATACTGTTCCAAGGATAGTACTTCCGAAGACTTCCATTTTTGTCAGGTTTTGAGATGTCAGAAATCTGTTCGTCAAGGACTTTCAACTGCACACATCTCAAGCCCACTGACAACCATGACGGCCTAGGGGAAAAGGCACCCAGAACGTCACACACACTGGGCGGGGCTGTGTGCCTACAGAGGCACACTGCTCACACCGCTGCCCTGGGGGGCTGACCGGCTACCTCGATCGCAGCACCTGCCCTGAGTGGCTGTGCAGTCCCCTCCTCTCCCGGCCAACAGAGAATAAAGGGCAAAGCAGAGATGAGGCACGGTCGGCCCAGGCTCCCTGGAGATGTCCTTGGACGTCTCGGTCAGGGGTCAGCAAACTATAGCCTACGGGCCAAATCCTGCCTCTAAGTCACATTTTACTGGAACACAGTCGCACGCATCTGTTTACATGTTGCCATGGCTGCTCTTCCCTCAAAGGCAGAGCTGAACAGCTGCCAGACCACGTGGGGCGCAAATATTTGCCCTCTGCCCCTTTACCGAACAGGTGTGCTGATTCCTAACCTAGGTCACTCCTCACGGAGAAAAGTCCGGGACACCTGTATTCCCGAGAAAGAGAACCAAAAAAATTACACCAGAACTTCGCTGGAACATCACTCAGTACTGAAAAAGACTTACGGTACAGTTTGTGACCAATCTTAGATCCTGTGGTTTCAGCACGATCTCCTCTACTGTAAACTTGAAGGCTGTACCGGAGACTGTTAGGGAACAGTTCAGAAGGGAAAACAGCAAAGTTGGCAAACCTAGCAACAGCTGGTACTTCGAAACTTATCTTCTCATTGACTGAAGCCTGTGGCTTCCATTAGCTACAGCTACCCATGCTAGGAGAGCAAGTTCAAAACACAGAAGCCACACAGCTCTGACAGTTAGATCCTCAGAGCCCTGGAGAGAACACGGAGCCGCGACGGTCAGATGAAGTTATTATGAAAGCTCCTTGGTACGCGGGGAGAAGCATCTGTACGGGCTACGGACACTGCAGGGGAACACTGCCCAAGACATGATCTGTGGAAAGAGCTGTGCACGTCAAAGAGAATAACCCACTGGAGTGGCGAGAACCGTGTTAGCTGAAGCCTACCGTATGCACCATATGTAAGCTTACCTTTTTCATATATTCAGTCACTGGGTTCTGCTGCAAGAATTCAGTGCTCTCCCTGGTATAAAATCTCTCCGTGTCGGCCAAAAACTGAGATTCAAAGGACTCTTTATACACTGTCAGCGTAGGGCCCTTGGCAAAGGCGTCGTCTTCATTCAGCCCCAACTCCACTAGAAACAGATAGGAACTGTATTTCAATTACCCTAGTTTTTGTTACATTTTACCCAACATACCCATGAGTAACATTCAGCTTAAGTTACGTTTAAAAGGTAAATGGAAAATGGCAGGACATAAGGTAAGCCTGCTATTCACCGGTGTGCACTGAAGTACACGGCTTCAATGAAAGAAAAAAGAAATAAAATCCAAGACATAAAAGGAAGTAATTCTGACCTGTGCCCAAGCATGCTTCAAAGTTATCGTGAAGTTCACTTAAAAAAATTATTAAACATGACATTTCTTTTTTCTAAACGTTTATTTTTGAGAGTGAGAGAGAGAGAGAGAAGGAGAGAGAGAACGTATGCGAGCGAGTGAGGGAGGGGCAGAGAGCGAGGGAGACACAGAATCCAAAGCAGGCTCCAGGCTCTGAGCTGTCAGCACAGAGCCCAACGCGGGGCCCGAACCCACAGACCTCGAGATCAAGACGTGAACCGAAGTTAGATGCTTAACCGACAGAGCCACCCAAGTGTCCCAACACGACATTTATTTCTAATTGAAGTGTAGCTGACGTACAGCAGCCTATCAGTTCCAGGAGGTCGTCACAGGGATTTGATATTTGTGAATATGACAAAATGATCCCCACAGTGAAGTGCGGCCACCACCTGTCACCTTAAAAAGTTACTGTATTATCGCCTACATTCCCTATGCTGTACCTTACACCCCCCATGACATTTCTTTTATAACTAGAGGTTTATCTCTTAATCACCTTCACTGATTTCACCTCCCTCCCCAGAAGGACTAAATGTAAACTTTCAGAGAAACACGAGGCCACTCAAGTTTTCCGAACATTGCATTAGCTCATCAGTTGCTCAATCTCAACTTTTCAGGCTGACCCAGGTCTCTGGTCCTCTTCCCACTCCATCATATTATATATCCAGTCATTCAGCAGTATGAGAGCAGAAAATAATTCAAATGTCGAGTTCCTCAAAAGTCCCATGAGAAACAAAGATCAAACAATTTTTGTGAGGGGTAAAATCAAACAGAATCACACTCAGAGTTTTTTGAGGGCCCTTGTACATGCAAACAATATTTTCACAACAGCTAAAATATCTGTCAACGAATCTGTCAGAACACGGTTAGGATTGCCATTTGACACGAAAACTCCGAGTAGGTGAAAGGGAAATGGTTTACCGTAAGACTGTACAACTCCACTTATCAGTCTTGTGTTGATGGTTTCACCGTTTCTTTCCTTTTCAATCAGTTTTAAAACAGCATTTGTTACCTTTAGGAAGGATAAAGGGAAAAGACCTGTAGATTACAGACTACAGCACGTATATTACTACACATCTCTTGGACTCTGAGAACATTATACAATGCAAGGTGCCAGATACTCTTAGGGCATTCTAAAGCTGTGAGGAGACAACGCCTACGAAATGAAATCTGTAAGGGGGTTTTAACAGGACGACACGCACACTCTCACACAAGTGCGTACCTGTTTATTCAATGGCCTGAACAGACAATCTCTCCAAGTCACCAACGCAAGCTGGATGAAAAGAAAAAGGAGAAGTGTAAGAGGTCTACACTTTCACCACGTTTTTCTTTTTTTTTTTTTTTTTAATTTTTTTTTTCAACGTTTATTTATTTTTGGGACAGAGAGAGACAGAGCATGAACGGGGGAGGGGCAGAGAGAGAGGGAGACACAGAATCGGAAACAGGCTCCAGGCTCTGAGCCATCAGCCCAGAGCCCGACGCGGGGCTCGAACTCACAGACCGCGAGATCGTGACCTGGCTGAAGTCGGACGCCAACCGACTGCGCCACCCAGGCGCCCCTCACCACGTTTTTCTAAGACTGAAGTCCTAGGAATCAGCCTGAATCTCATCTATCAGTATTTCTAGATTATAACTGGGTAAAAATCTATCATGACGACATCAGAGATGCTCGAGTTAGCAACTTCAAGAGGTTTCGAAATACAGCCGCTTATCAGCTCCCATTTTAATAATTCAGACACAAAGAAAACCTGGGTTTTAGGAGACCAAACATATCAGCTTACAGGGTGTCAGTGGAGTCAACCTCTAACACTGTTCCCTGGCCCAAATTTAATTTTTCATCTAAATGAAGATAATTCCAGTTATCATAGTTTCCTAATACTCGATAAATTAAGTAACAGATGATAAAAATTCAGCATGTTGTGTATCTTACTTGTGGTGATTTGTGTTGCACGGATGCACACGGCTGGAAACGCACCAAACTGCACACTTTAAATAGACATGGTTCATTATATAGGAACTGCTCAGATTTCCCATTTTACTTGCACTCATGTGTGTTGGGAGTCTTTGATGCATTTCTAAAACTTTCCACAGAAGTTATGCCAGAAAATCACTATAAAAATGCTCCCCCAAGGGGAACGGTTATAATTCATAAATGATTTTCAGCTGTTTATTGAGAGAGGTAGTATTCAGAGTAAAATTCAAATTTTTAACAATTCAATATTCAAATATAAACTGGTAAGGAACTCACTTAGACATAAATGCTTTCAGTCTTATTTTTCCTAAATTTAACCACAGATAAGACTAGGTGGATGTAAGATGTATTTCAGAAAAGATTATGTGTAATTTAATTTATGCAATAAGCCCTGAGTAATGTTCCTACCACACACACAAAAAAGGCAACATGAAAAGCAGTATTTAAGACAAAACTACTTTTGAAATTCATTTATTTATTATTCAAAAAGTTTGGGGGGCGCCTGGGTAGCTCAGTTAAGTGTCCGAGACTTCGGGTCAGGTCATCATCTCGTGGTTTGTGAGTTCGAGCCCCACGTCGGTCTCTGTGTTGACAGCTCGGAGCCCGGAACCTGCTTCAGATTCTGTGTCTCCCTCTCTCTCTGCCCCTCCCCTGCTTGCGTTCTGTCTCTCTCTCTCAAAAAATAAAGATTAAAAAATTAAAAACTTTTTTTGAATTCCAGTGCAGTTAACAGTGTTATACCAGTTTCGCGTGTCCAACAATTCTATACGCGACCTGGTGCTCATCGCTGTAAGTGGACTCTCAATCCCCTTCACCCATTTCAGCCCTGCCCCGGCCCACCTCCCCTCTGGGAACCATCAGCCTGTTCCCTAGAGTTAACAGTCTGTTTTTCGGTTTGTCTCTTTTTCTTGGTTCATTTGTTTTGTTTCATAAATTCCACATACGAGTGAGACTGTACGATATTGGTCTTTCTCTGACTTATCTCGCTTTAGCATTACACTCTCTGGCTCCATCCATGTTGTTGCAAAAGGCAAGATTTCATTCTAAGAGAAAACTATTTTTAATTAAGCACGAACAATACATACTCATGTAATGTTTCCATAAAAATAAGATTTCAGAATTAGAAACTATGATGTCCAAGAAGATGTTAGAAGGGAAGAGCCTCATTTTTCAGGAGAAAGGCAAGCCTGGGGCGATTTTCCCTGTGCAAATTCTGCCGCCTCGAGTCTTAGACTTCTTTTTTACTTAAAAAAAAAAAATTTTTTTTTTAACGTTTATTTATTTTTGAGACAGAGAGAGACAGAGCATGAACGGGGGAGGGGCAGAGAGAGAGGGAGACACAGAATCGGAAGCAGGCTCCAGGCTCTGAGCCATCAGCCCAGAGCCCGACGCGGGGCTTGAACCCACGGACCGCGAGATCGTGACCTGAGCTGAAGTCGGATGCTTAACCGACTGAGCCACACAGGCGCCCCAAGACTTCTTTAAAGCAAGAGTAAGGAGGGAAAATGCAATGCCATGGCCATGAACTTCTAGTAAAGATATACTACACCTTTAAAAATAACTTTTTTCCAAACATTGTTCTAAATCAAGACAGCCTTAGGCAAGTCTAATTTGACTCTGGATAACTTGTCACTTTGAAGGAAGAAAGGAAGCAGAGATGCCAAGATAAGAAAGCAAGGCCAAATGTACACCAGACAAAGTTCAGACGAACAAGGAACGGAGTCCAGGAAAACATCTTGCTCCGTCACTTTAATGTATCAATAATGAAATTAATTTACGTCCTCTGGTGGACATGAAAGGAAAACAACAACTTTCTATAATTAAAACGGAAGAAAGGATTATTAGGAAAAAAAAGGTAAAACTTTATATTGTGCGACAAAGCATCCCCACCTTCTGGAACTCCTGGAAAATACAATGAGAGAGATCACTGTGCCCAGCTGTTCCTCTGTGTCAACTGATGCTTGAACTTTATGAATTCAACAGGTTCACTGAAGAGCACACAGAGGAAATACTGTTTCTAGACAGGGGTATTCACTGGCCTTTGCTAAAACTTACGGCTGCATATTGTATTTCCAAACGGTTACTACAGACAGTATTTAAGGATGTAGAAGGTATGAATTTTCAAAGTAAATAAAAAATAGAAGCTGAAAATCGTAGCCTACGAAGTATACTTGAACTTCTTTCTATTTTCTCTGTTCTTGAATATAGCACACAAAAAGTTCAGGTGTAACGATTTTTAGGAGTCTGTGACATTACTGCAGGGTTCGTGTGGCGTTTTAGGTCAAGGTGGCATCCAAGAAGAAATCACCCAAATCATGCCGATTCGTAAAGAAAGCATTTGTGAGTGGAAAAGAAAAAGGAAAGTACAAAAGGCTCAACTCAAAATACTAAATCCACAAAGTTTTGTTCATTACACATATCACATATATAGGATATATATAAATGATACTAGTTTGTCATGAATCTATGATACATTTTCCTTTTATTAAATCTGTCCAAAATAAAGCAATAAAGTACTGCTAATATACCAGCATTCTGGGAGATGGAGATAATCTCATTATGCAGAACTTAACATGTTCACATCACTGGTTCAAGAAGAGGACAGTCTGTGCATCTGATAGCCCGTTCCGAATAGACAGGCCTTCTGTCGAGTCCTTCCCCTCCACTGGTCTACGACATCAGTCCCCAAAGCTGACTGGACATCACAGTCCTCTCAAGGGACTCCAACAGTCTGCTGACCCCCACCTCCAGGGTTTCTAGTAAGTTGAGGCTGGGGCCCAGTAATGTGCATTGCTAACAAGTTCCCAGGTGTCCATGATGTGGCAGGTTTGGGGACCACACCTTGAAAACCAATGGAACTAAGAAACAAACATATTAATGAAAGTGATTCAGTCACTCGACTTCTGCCTTTTCACAATCTATTTTCATGCCGTCTAAAAAGAACCTTCAACTTTCAACTCTGTCAGTATCATATTATTTTGTAAAGAGAGAAGGCAGGCATCTCACCACACGGTCCTCTCCTTAAACAGCTTCCCAAACCACAGAGGCCACGAGGGCTGATCTGGGAGGCCCGGGTCCCCGGCTCGGGACTGGATCTGCCTGACACAGCCAGCACGTGGGATGCCCAGCGCTACAAGCAGGACAGTTCCAGGCTAGACTAGACGGCTGGTCGAGTAACTGCGGAAGAAACTTATCAGTAAATGCAGAAGTGTGGAGGCTGTATTTCAGAACTCCAATTTACTCATCCTTTCCTGCCACAAAATATCTAAGAGTCATCTGTCGATAAATTAAAGCAAAGGAAATTAGCCTCCGGGTCTGAAAACAGCTTCACTACTCGCCTAGCTCCCCCTACTGACAGATGAGGCAGCACTAAGAAAGCACACACGTGAAAGGTGTTTAAAAAAATCTTACAGAATAGATTTCATATATTCCTTTCCGTCCCTCGTCACATTCACGGCGAACCCAATGTCTATTGAGGTAGGCACAAATTCCATTCAGCACTTTGCTGGAAAATCGATAATCCTCCCATTGTTGAGTGTAGAACTTCAGTACGCTCTCATCCATCAAATCTTCTCCATCCTAAAAACAAGTGAACCCAAGCTTTAAGGACTAATTTGTCACAATGATAAATTAAAAGTTCACTAAAACAAACCTATGGCATTAAAAATACATCCATGTGTTCGGTTTTAGATGAGCTTTTTATTTTGTATACAAAAACATGCTCATTAACACCTATTCTCATAAGAATATAGCTTGTGAGGAACAGACTATAGAGAGAATTTTAATGAAAATCCTTTCAAAATGGAAACTTTCCACGGTGGAATATTATGTATCATATACACTCATACGAAGTACCTCCAACTTTTAGAATGAAGGGAATAAGGAATTTACCTCAAAATCAGCCCCGTTTTTGACATTTTTCAGTTAAAGTTAATTAAAATGTCCTATTAGCAATTTAGACCACAGGGCCAATACTACTCGATTTTTTAATGCATCTGCTTCCTTCATTAAATTTACTTAAAAACTATAAATTAATATTTTTACACTAATCTGTTGCATTTCTGTAAAAATAAGTGTAATGGTACAATATTTCTTCTTTAACAAGATCTCAAGGGGAAAATGTGCATTCACCAAAATTATTTTTACCCAGATTTCCACAAGGTAAACCACAAATTGTTATGTGAAGGATCAACCGGAGATTTTTTTCCTCCGGTATTAATGACATCCGCAAGGTAAATCTGCCTCCTTAAAAACTGCATATTCCACTTCAGTGTCCCTGAAATACGCTGCAGCAAGAAAGCACAGAGGTGACAAACGAGGGACGCAGCCCCACCATGAACCGAGGGCCTGGGAAGGCCACCCGCTCGCCCTGCCTCAGTGTCGTCAACCTCAGAACCGAGGCCCCACAAACACGTGGCACACAAGTGAGCCCATAAGCCACAGGAAAACCTGACCAGATCTTGATACAACCAGATTTTTGCTCACTTAAATTTCAGTAAGAAATGAACTATCAAATGTAAAGGTTTGCCACTCTGGCTTATAGCACAGGACCTTTTCCAAAATGCAAAGATATCACTGATAGAGCACAGCTCCCAATACTTTGATACAACACAATATACTCCTGTTCCCACTTTAATGCTGAAGAATAATCAATTCCAGTGTTCACTTTACAAAGTGTTCTGAATAAACAGAAGGACACAGCGGTTTCAGCAAAACTCTACGACACACATGGTTTAGGGAACATGAAAATCATGCTATCTTAGTCACAATTTGTGGTCAATCAACTAGGGTCTGTTAGAATGATATTAAGTTTCCAATTGCCTTGTGAAAGAGATTAAGAAAAACAATTTTGAAGCATGCTGAAAATTTTGCATAATGTCTGTGTAAACAAAAAATCTTTAAAGCATATACACAGAGCACAGACTTCCCAAGGTCGAGAGTATAGATGTCTTCACTCACTCTATGTGACATGTGTAGCACCAGGTGAAGGAGCACTTGCCCATCCTGTGGCTGGATGGAAGGCAGGCGTCACACTGCCTTTCCTACAGAGGATGGAGACTGAGGAAGGAAAAGGCAGAAGATGAAGGGGAAAAACTATCATTGTCCGAGCAACGGCTCGGAGCAGGAGGAACCATACTCGAAGGCCATGGATGTTCGTAGAGAAACCCATCCTAGCCAAGGGCACGATTTCATCGTAGCTCTGAAATACACTACATGACTATGTGCAAAAGGAGGTCACAGTGGAAAAATGTGATTACCGAAGGTTAGATAACCTTACGATCATTTGTACATTTTTAGACAAAACAACACACTGGGGTCAAAATACAACACAGGTGATCTGAATTCATAATGAGATGCTCGAAGTGAAAAGGTCCGTTAATTTCTAACAACCAAATACAAAATGGTTAGTGATTTAAGGAAAAGTACTAATTGGATATAAAGCTATCAAAGCCTTCTAGTTTAACAAATTAAAAAACAGAATATAGCTTAGGAAAGCTCCATCTTCGTAATAGGTAAAAGACTAAGCAAGAGCAAACTAGCTTCATGCAAACATCAATGCCGAAAACAATGAACAAATAACAGTGAGAGATTTAGCATTCAATCAAGTTAGAACCATCATTTCACTATTTTCTTTTACATTCTATTATAAAGAGTAAGTTTAAGTATACACGTACAACGTCTTACCTTAAGAAGATTTGTTAAGTAATTCTTCAAAAATTCTTTAAGTCGTTTGTATAATTCCAAGCCAACAAACTGAGCTCCCCCAGGCGTCTGACCCTTTTTCGATTTGGAAGGAGGGACGCCAGCCCCTCGGGCCTGGTTTGACTGGTGAACACTCGTGCAGTAGTTATAAACGTGACTTGGGAGAAAAGTTAAGGAAATCAACATGCATCATCAATGCCAACAGGGACTAATACCGAAATATTTTTAAAGAAAATATGTTCATACCAATATGCTTACAATACATCAACAAAAGTCTGTTAACACGACAGTGAAGGGGCGCCTGGGTGGCTCAGTCGGTTAAGCGTCCGACTTCAGCTCAGGTCATGATCTCGTGGTTTCTGAGTTCAAGCCCCGCGTCGGGCTCTGGGGCTGACAGCTCACAGCCTGGAGTCTATTTCAATTCTGTGTCTCCCTCTCACTCTGCCCCTCCCCTGCCCATGCTGTGTCTCTCAAAAACAAATAGTAAAAAAAAAAAAAAATTATAAAAAAAAAAAACTACAGTGAAAATAAGACCCCATCCACCACAGCAATGAAGCTAGACATCAGCCAGCCCCACCTACAAGCCTGTCGGCAGGCCCAGGAACCAGCCTGCTGCGAATGAAGGAATGTTCTGAGGAAGGTCACCAAGGAAACACAGGACCTTCTAAGATCACGTAATGTGACTGACCTTGTGGGAAACTGTCCTTCAGAAGGCATGAAAAGAACTCGCAATCGGTACAAAGGTTCCATACAAGAGAAAAAAAAGCAATTATCTCCTTCAAGAAAAACAAAAACTATAACCAGAGTCTATTTTGATGCCTAGCTATATTTCTAGAAGCATGTATTATAAATATCAAAATAACTAAAGCTTTATTTTAAAATTATTCATAAACGAATGTAAACAAAGCTACACTTTGTGGACGAAGGACAAAAAGCAGAAGAAATGGCAGTGCAAGAAACCTCTTATCACAGGAAGTCACAAATGTCTACAATTGATCAATCACAGATGTGCAGCACGCATGCGCAGTACTGACAGGGAGGGAGCTGCGTAAGTCACAGGATAGACAGCGGAAGTCTGAAACAGCTGGAGGGGAGCTGCTGAGGACTGGGAGGCGGGGAAGGCAGAGAACCACGCTACTTTGTTATACAACCTTTCATATGATTTCGGTTCATCTGCACGATTTCAGTTCATCTGCACATATTACCACTTGGATAAAACTAACAGACAATATGGACTCAGAAAGAAAAATCATTAAGACAATAAATTCTGGCCTGTTTCAGGTTAGTGCGTAAAGACACGGGTGATTTCAAAACACATTCCATACTCCAAAATACATGACACAGAAGGGTTAAGACTTAAAATATACAAACCTAAACCATAAAACGAAGAAAGTACCCACGAACTGTTTCCTGATCTCAGACTGGAGAAGGCTTTTCTAAGCAAAGTCATCTAAACACTTAATCTGAGATTCTGAAAATATCTTCGTAAAAGAGATCTTTAACGAGTTACTATCTTTAATCAATTAAGAGAATTAAAAACGTGAAAAAGTTAACCTCCACAGAAACATGGGGAGAGCATACCAACAGAAAATCCCAAAGCTGAAAGAAATATGTATTAGTGGTTAAAAAGCTGAAAAAAAATCTTTAGCTTCAGTAATCAAAGAACTCTGCCTTAAAACAACCAATCCCTTCATTCAACATTTCAAATGTACAGGGAATCACAGTTTATAACATACAATGAACTCTTACAAACTGATGATGCAGTTTGGACAAATCTCCTCCTCCCATGGTCTCATTCCAGCTACACCTCCCTCAACTTTTTAGGAAATTAAATAGCACAGATTCTGCAAGAGACCTGCTTTGTACTGCTCCCAGTGTCGCCCTCCCTTCTGCTTTCCCTAGGGGCAAACACCCCGTGATGTGGTGCACAGCACTTCCTACGAGTGTTTTTATATCTTACTGTAACACTGTACCTGAAATTACCATTCCGTATGTTTTCAAGTTTCAGATACAGCTTAGACCTTACAATAAGTCCTCCGTTTTCTTGTTGATGGACCCTACGAACGATCACTTTGGTTGAGGTCCAGGTTTTGGTAGTTCCCAACAAAAGCTGCAAAGAACAGTACTCTTAAGTTCTCTTGCATACATACAGGTTTGAGTTTCTCACACTACACAACTGGCAGGTGATGGGAGAAAGGGGTCCATCGTAAACTTCACTACCTGTTGTCAGATGTGCTGTCGCTGGACAGCCACCAGTGCTGTTTAACAGCCGACAGCCTCTTCCACACATTTGTACTGCGGGTCGCCACGGTGTTAATACGCATTTCTCTGACTACAGCGAGGCGAAGATTCTCCTGAGTTTATGATTTTCACGTTCTCTTCTGTATATTACGTCATATCCTTCACAATCTTTTAAAAAAAAGAGTTTGCTCAGACACTGATGATGACAGTGTAATACATAATCACTTCGGAAAAATCTTGTTTTTTCCTGAGTTGGAGGAAGGACAGGGAGGGAGAGAAGAGAGAGAATCCCAGGTAGGTTCTGCGCTCTCAGCACACAGCCCAGTTGCAGGGCTCGATCTCACAAGTGAGGCGAAATCAACACTTAGATGCTCAACTGACCGAGCCACCCAGGTGCCCCTGGCAGTTTCTTGTAGAAATCACGGTGTTATGTACAGACTACTATTCAGCAGTTTAATGAACTACTGTACTGATATACCATGAATCAGTCTTAAAAACATGGTGAAGGAAAAAAGCCAGATATCTATGGTTTTACTTATATGAAGTTCTAAAACAGGGAAAATTATTTCTATGGTGATAGAAATCAATAGTGACTTCCTTTTCCTTGAAGGGCAAAGACTGACCAACAGGTGCTCCAGGGAACTTTCTGTATTCTTGATTAGGGTATGGTTTACCTGAGCGTATATGCCTGTCAAAAAGAATTCAAACTATCCACTTAAGATCTGTGCACTTTGCAGTATGTGAATTTTGCCTGGAAAACATTTTTTAAAATGTAAGCCCGTAATAAGTATTACGGACTGACTAATACTGAGCTGTCTTTTTGACCTGGTAGTTTTTCATTGTGAAAATCCCTACTGTATCATCATATATTGCAATTCTTACATTCTTGGAGTTTGCAGCCTAACTTCTTTTAATGGAAAGCATTATGTAAAGAGAAATTCTTAATTTGTCATCATCAAATTTATACAAATTTTCTTTTATGGCTTATGCTTTAATTTTTATTTAGGAAATCTTCTCTCCCAAGGCATGGATTCTAGTGCATTATTTTTTTCACCTGATTTCACACTGAGATTTCTCATCTTCCTGAAGTAAAACTGTGTATGAGGAAGAAATGTAATTTTATATTTGTCTGCATGGATACACAACGGTTCACAAACCATGTATTTTACATGGTCTATTCTTTCCCCACCGTAGGTATTGCTGCTTTTAGAAAACTGCCCATTTCAAGTGAATTCTTCAAGTACACGGTCCAGTTGTCTGTTGGTTCTTTTAAAAAACCTGTTGTTTCTGTGAGGTCTTGTATTTATTTAAAATATTTTTATGATTAATTCTGCAGAGAACCAGTTTGGGATTTATTTCTGTTTATCTTTATTTCATTTCTGTTCTTTTTCATGTACCTCTTTTATAATTGTTTTCCTCCTAGAAATTCTCGTTTTGGTCTATTGGCTTTGTAATCTTTCCTCCTTGTTTTAACGTAAGCATTTAAAACTACAGATTTTCTTCTCCACACCACTCAGGCTGCATCACCTAAGTCTGATCCGTATGGGTTTCCCTTACATTCAGCTGCATATTCTTTTTTCCATTATTAATAGTTCTCTTAAGAGTTAATTTAGGGCACCTGGGTAGCTCAGTCGGTTAAGTGTCTGATTTTGGCTCACACCACAATCTTGCGGTTTGTGGGTTCGAGCCCCACATCGGGCTCTGTGCTGACAGCTCAGAGCCTGGAGTCTGCTTTGGAATCTGTCTCCCTCCTCACCTCATGCTCGCTCTCTCTGTCTGTCTGTCTCTCTCTCAAAAGAAATAAACATTAAAAAAAAAGTTAAATTTTATTTCCAAAGGGTACTTTTAAAAAATCTTTTTAAAAAACCTCTTAATTTCACTTTAGAATTAATCAGAGATTATCTTTTTGATAGTTTCTTTAAAAGGTGATGAGACCTACAGCTGAATATGTGATTTTCTTTACATTTGCCTGAAAAGAATGTCCATTCTCTAATGGATATAAGATCCCATTAGAGTAAGCTGGTCAATTCTGTTTTTCACATCTAATATATTGTCAGCCATTTCTCTGGGTATTAATTACTGAGAATTTCTAATGGAAATCTTCCTAATTATAGATTTGTCAGTTTCTCTTATACCTCTCTAAAATATCGGTCCTATATTTTGAGGCCCTGTTAACAAGTATATAAACTTTTGAATTATATTCCTGGTCCCTTGGTCTTGTTATTAGTAGGAAGCAACCATGTTTCCTCCTCACAGTAGTGCCTGAGGAAATCCACGGGACCGGATGTTAGTATGGTTATTCCCATCTCTGGTTAGAATTTACCCCAAGTACACCGGTTCCATCTCTTTACTTTTCTACTTTTACATCTACTGCAAACCACAGCCAAACGCGCTCTTAAAAAAATGGAGTTTGATGGTCTCCAATGGATAAATTTGGTTTTATTATAAAACCCAAATATAAATACACTGTTATATACTGTTTTATACATTGCTATTTGGATTATTTTTTACCATCTTATTTTGATTATTTTTTTAAAAAATTTTATTTTCTATTTTCTTTGCTTTTGTTTTCTCCTTTTTCTTTTACCAGGTTGATGGCTTCCTTATTCCACTGTAGTTCTTACATCGCTCTGGAGTTACATATTTTATTTGGTTACCCTTAAAATCTGATATGCATACTTTGCCTTTCACTAATTCTAGAAAATTCTTGGGTTGTCAACTCTTCAAATATTTGTTCCCCTATTTTCTATTACATGTATGTTGGACATTTTCATGTTCTTTGTTCAAACTTTCTAATTTTTCTTGATTTATCATCTGGTTAAGTGATTCTTTCAACCGTGTCAAATTCGCTGTTTACTTTTAAACATCTTAGTTTACATCTGTAGAGTTTCCCAGTTTCTTCTTAAAGTCTGTCTT